ATTTCAGTTACAAATTCAGATAAAAATGATGTTAAAAATTTTGGAAATGCATCATAATATTCATAAATTGTTTTAGGGAATTCTAATAAATCTTTTCTACTTTTTATATCATTATGCGAATATCACAATTTTGAACCAAATAACCTTCCCAGACTATTAGGATTTTCTATTTCTTGTTGAATTAGCAAATCGATTTTTGTTTTATCTTTTTTGTAATTAAAAAGCATCTTAACCATAAATAAACTCAATCCAACTTTACTTTCTTTATTTTGTATGGAAGTAGTGTTTTTGTTGAAGAGATTATGAGAATTATTATTTTTGGAAGGTGCAGATGGAGTATATACTTTAATTGTATTAACAACTGATATTAATATTGAATCTTTAGTTTGTTCATCTGCTGTCCATGAAATTTGTAACAGCCAATTAGCAACTAGTTCCAATCCACATGAGGTATTATTTTTATGTAAGCCATCTTGTAAGCAATTTGAAACTTTTCGTCCTTTACCAAGACGTACATAAACATGACCACCATTTTTTTAGTAGCATTCAAGATATATATATCTTAGTCTTTAATATCATCTGATATTTGATAATAAAGAGAATCACATTCTCTTAATGCATTACAGTAAAATTGTCCATTACAAGATATAAGAAGATAATGTCCATTAAAAAACTATGAATGATTTATACATCCTTTACCATGACTATAAGTTGTTAAATAATTTCTACACCCAAAGTAGCGATGTCTATTAATTATAGCAGTTTTATCATGATGCTTTTTTTGTTTATCTTTACTATTATGCAATTGATTTTGGTCATATAAAAAATGAGATTCACATATAGTTAATTGAAAATAATCCTCATTAACACTATTGACTATATCTCTATCTATCTGCCAAATTCTAAACAAATTTCTTAACCTTCTTGGCCGATGTGTTGAACCACATGTTTGAATTTTACCTTCTAAATAATTAACAATTACACATGAAGTTTTCTTTTCGTGAGAATTATTAGCTTCTGTTGGAATAATTATTGGTTCATCCTGTATAGTCTCACTTTCTTTCTCAAATTGATCATTACTAATATCATCTTCTTCTTCATTGAGTTCATCATCATGTTCAGAATATTCAGAATATGAAGTTGCACTACTAAAATCATCATCGCTATCTGTATCTACTAAGAGTTCAAACAAATTTTCATTATAATTGTCATCATAGTTATCACAATCAAAGTCTGAAACTAGCCCAAGTGTTTTACCACTACTGTCTAATAACAATTTTTAAAAAAAAAATATTAGTGGAAGACTTAAGTTCAAAAAAAAACTCTTTTTTTTGATAACTAAATTAATAGAAATTGTTTATATTATATGGAAAAGGATCATCTGCTTCTTGTTGAAAAAAATAAAATATATCAATTTTTTAAATTATATTTCTTTAAATTTGATTGGTTAATTAAATTTGATCAATTAAAAATTTTTATAAATTTAGTCAGATTTTAGTTAACCAATTTTGGTCAAATTATTATTTAATATCAATTTTGCTAATTATTATTGATCTAAAAGTTTAACTAGTAGATATTATACTTAAAAAAGAAATAAAAGAAAAGAAATTACAAAAGAATAAGAATTAAATAAGAAAAAAATAGTATTAAATATATTTTATTCTAATTAAATATATGTTATATTATTCAAATTATTTAACAATAATGTAAATTCTATTTAAAAGTTTTAATTTAAGTAAAAGCATAAATATAAATAATAAAAAAGAAATATTAAAATAATATAATTTTTTAATTTGAGTAGTTTTATATAAATTTTATTAAAATTTAAATATTACAATATTTTATAAATAATTTTACCTCTTAAATTATAAGTATAAAATAGTTTATAAAATATTTTTTAAAACTTAAAATATTTAACAAATATAGTTTATTAAATTTGTTATATTAAAATACATTTAATAATAATATTTTTAAATTTTTAAATTAATAATTATTAATATATATCAATTTTTTAATTTTTCAATTTTTAAAAATAATATATTATTTAAAAAGTTTTAATTTATTGGATTCATTTTATTAAGACTTATTAAATAATAGCATTTTTATATATTTTTGAGATTAATAGATAATAAGATATATAAATTAAAATTTTAACTTTTTTTAATAATAACTTATCATTTATTTATCTTTAAAAAATTATTAGTTAATTCATTTTTTTAATTTTTACTTAGAAAATATTATAAAATTTATTATAAAAGTATTAATTTTTTAAATAATATATTTTAAAATATTTAAAAATAATTAAAAATAATTTTAATTATAAATAAAATTGCCTACAAATTTATAGATAAAATAGTTAAAGGAATACTTACTATTTAAAAAATATGTTTAATATATTTAAGAAAATTATAAGATTATTTTATATAAATTTAATAATATAATAAATAAATATATTAATATATATCAAATATTATTAAGAGTTTACTAATAAATTAAATTTGCTTTAGACTTATAATAATTTTTATTATTTAATATATACATATTTAAAATATATAAGTTTAATAAAATAAAAAATAATATATGGCTTTTTGTAATTAAAAAGGAGAAAACTACTAAAAAAAATTTTTTTTGCTTTATAAGCTAAATATTATTTTTTTAATAAAATAAATTCAGATTTAACATTAATTCAAAAAAAAATTTTTTGGTATAGTTAACTCTTATTATATATCCTAGAACTCAATTTTGTTATAAGACTATTATTACACAAAAGAAGACATGAATGATGATGATCTAAAGGATGACGTCGATCTCTAAGAAATCATATATGTTTTCTATATCATCTATGTCGTCTATAGCATATATTTTTTTTATACAATATATTTCTTTTATTTATTTTATTTTATTTATCTCATATATTTATTATAT